AGTTTCCTAGACTGTAAATTCCTGGCATATGCAGATGATTCAGCCAGTGTACCCTTCTGTCCTTAGGGGTTAGCGGGCACTGTGGTATGGGGGGAAGGTTGTGCTTGATGACCTTGGAGGTCTCACGAACTTTAATGGTTCTGTGATTCCTGCACGAGACACTGGAGAGCTCAGCGAGGGAGGTTGTGCACTGTGAGCCACTGGTGTAAAACATTTCATATTTTTCTGTTGTATGGGATTAAGGATCCCACAGCTCTGCAGACTGTGAAGTTCTTTTCCTGCTTACTGGTGTTTGCTCCATCTCCTGATTCCTGCTGTGTGGGAATCCCTGCTGAGCCAGGATGTGCTCTGGAGGATCAGGGTGCTCCATGAACTGACCGATGCTGCATAGCCAGGAGGGTCTTTCTGATCCAAACTGCACTGCATTCTTTCCTCCAAAAGCTTCTGGGTTTAGTTGTTTTGATTCTGAGAGCTCCCTTAGAGAAAATAATGGGGTTTTTCCCAATGTGTTGTATCCTGCAGTTTGTTTTGCTGTGCTGAACTCCCAGAGGAGAGTGGAGATGTGGGTCATAGCCCTGGTGCATGGCTTTGTTTGCATTGCAGAACTGAGATTGTATCGAACACTGTTGGCAAAATTGCCACAGACATTTTCAAGATTAGCGAGATATTGCAGGAATTATGCAGAATCTTATCACATTCTGTTGCTGTGGCCTTCAGAAAGTCACTGTGATGTCCTCAGAGGTTGTGCTCTTCACTTGAGGTCCTCTTGGCTGGTGTCACCTGGGGGTGAGGGCAACATGCCAAGGGACAGGGCACCCTGCTTGGGTTCTGCCTCTTGGGCTGGCACCCCACCCCTGCCAGAACAGGATAATCTGATTGGGGAATACTTGATGTGGAATAGCTCCCTAGAGCACCTTTTTTTCACTTGGCTGTGTGTGCTTTGGTTTAATCCACCAGCAAGGAAAGTGCGAATGAGCTGGACTCTTCTGCCACTGAACTTGGTTTCAGTTGCTGGGAGATTTAGGAACGGCCTGGTGTGGTTGGGCTTGCTGTAGCCAGCACTCTGGCCCTTCTGATGCATGGATGACAAATAGTGGATTTGGCTTTGGAACTGCAGATCCTGGTTATTTCCCGCAGTAATGGGGAGAGTTAAGAGTGGTGTTTGGGTGACCGTGTCCAGCACACCAGGCTCTGCGGGGGGGTTTTCATTCAGCAAACCAGAAGTGCCACAGTTAAAACATGGGATTAAAGGTTTGTTGTCTTTTCCATTCCGATGTGTTTTGCCACCAGAACACCGAGTTAAAGATCTGTTGTCTCTTTTAGCATGTTATGTTTTGCAAACTCGATAATAAAACTTAACAATAAAACTAGAGACGAGGTGCTCAGCGGATGAAACTGGATTCGCAGAGTCTCTGCGTGCAGGTAACATTCCAGCAGGATCTGGTTTCTCTCCTCCCAGCCAGTGGAAATTTACCTCGCTGGCGCCTATCATGGGTTGGAATCAAAAATCTCTCTACAGGGAGAGCAGAAAAAAAGCGCCCAACCCAGCCCAAACCTCCCCCGCCGCGGCTCGGGTGAAGCTCCGTGCAGGTGAAAGGCGGGCAGGGCGGCCTCTCCCCTGTTGTCCGGGTGACACTTCCCGGAGCACGGCGGCGGGGCCGGGGCTGGGGCTGGGGGTGCTCGGCAAGTGCGCTCGGTAAGTGCCGCCCCTTCGGGGGACTCGGTGTGACACCGGCGTGTGCTGCTGTCCCCACGCGGGGCTGGGTGCTGGGGCTGGGGAACAGGACAGCGAGCTGGTCCATCTCGTGCGCTCCCACGGAGGTGGGTTTGTGTACCTTCGCAAAGACGCGTTAAGTGTCTCATCCGCTCTGGTCCGCGTGGCAGCTGTTCAAATATCGGTTCGCATCGATCCACCCGTCGTGCCTTTCACACTTGTCTGTTCATTTAAACGAGCCCAGCTCTAATTTTATACCCCCATCGATTGGTATTTCAGGCGGTTCTCGTAGTGCGTACGCTCCGTGTGTCATGGGATTGTCTGTCCTGCTGCAAGCTGACGTCTGCAGCTTTCCTTCTTACACCGCGCCGCGTGGCCAGGGATGTCTTGGTGTGCATTTAGGACATACAGATGTGCGTTCCAACCCTTGTTTGGGTTGGTTTGACAGCGCATCTGTCTGGGTTCAGCTGGTGTGGGCTGAGCTGCCTCTCCTGCCTGGGTCACCCTTTGGAGGGGCAGCATCACTCCCTGCCGGTTGGGAAGAAGGCAGGCTGGGACACTGTGCTAGACCAGTGTTCTTTCTCTTTTGTTGCCATAACTCTTCTGTAAACTTCCCAGCTCCAGGCTGTTTTATTAATCCAAGGGCAGGACTTAATGAGTTTTCTTTATGTGAGTGCTTTAATGGGTGTTAGAAATGCTGGGCTTTTCAGAGCAGCCGGAGAAGTGAATGTGGTGTTCGTTTAACAAAGATTAACAAATTGTGAATCATACAGATAAATATTCCTGCAAAAGCCTCTTGAATCTCTAAATGCATCTGTGTTCCTTCATCTGGTTTCTGAGGTGAATTGGGGTTTGTTCACTGCCAGTGAAGTCTGGGTTTTGCTGCATAATTGGCTTCTATTTCCTGAGCGTGGTTCCACCTAAATCAGCCAAGTCCTCTAAAATGGCACCACGAATTGCAGCTAAGAAAACACAACCTATATAAAGGTTATCCTTTAGCAAAGAGGAGAACTCTGTAACCTCTGACATGTTTTGAGGAGGCAAGAAAACATAAACCTCATGTTAATGATTGGACAGAAGTCGGTGTGGATGTGGTTAGTGGTGGAGCTCAGCACTAATAGCTAACCAGGCCCTGCCACAGCGAGCAGGAGGCTGAGCTCGGGGATAGACTTGCCAGAAAATGGAACTATGTTTGTGTTGGGAAAATGCTCTTGGGAACAGGAGATGATTGATCACTGATGGAAGTCTTTCAGTGGAGATATTTAAGTGGCAGTAAATTGTGCTCTCCTGCATTTGTGTGGATGAACAGTTTGACACTGACACTGTGCTCAGCAGTGTGTCAGTTCATGTGGTACCTGAAACTGTTCAGCAGAGAGAACTCGTGATTACACCATAGCTTGTGGCATCTCTTGTGGTTTTAAGATATACACGGGCTAATTAGCAAGTGCTTTTTTAGAGTGCAACAAAACCCCTTTCACTCAGGTCGGGGACCTGTCCCTCATCCGCTTCCCCTCTGCGTGTGATGCCTGAGGAAGGGTGTCGGTGGGGGTTCAGCTGCAGGAGGCCCTTGTTTCCCTCCTGTGGATCCTCCCAGGGAGCTCTGTTCCTGTGCTGTGTGTGCCTGTTCCCTGATCCGAGTCCCGCTGAGCTGAGTGTCTGATCAGCTTGTTAACCTACTCTGCTTGCTCCTGGTGCTTTCCTTGTAATTTAGGACTCCAGCTGAATGTTTGCTGTCCTTCAGCCTCTCTGCAGATCCATCTCCCATGCATGCGATCCCTGCTTCTCCTTAGCCCTCCAAATCTGACTCCTGATCACATCCTGGGCTTTGGATCCTGGGTCTTCTCACCTGGAGATCACCCAGAGCATCATCTTTTGTATCTTGCAAAACATGAACTAGGGATCCTCCAATACTGGGACTTCTGCCTTTCTTTTTTTTTTTTTTTTTTTTTTTTTAAGATAGTAGGGTGTTTGTGTTTTTCTTTTGTTTCTTTTGGTTTAGTTAATATGCAGAGGTGCCCTCAGTGCAGGAATAAGATGCCACTCTAGTGAATGTTTTGACGTTTTAGAGAAATCTGAGTAGCACTGATAGTGTAGAAAGAGCTACTTTAGTGAGGTCAGAACAGTCTTGAGTTTCTACCTGGCTTTCTCTGTGCTGTCTTCTCTTAATGAAGGAATTTGCTTGATCACAATTTGCATGTTCATTGCCGTTTGTGTGTCATAACCTCTGTAGAAGCTTGCAGAGTGTTACACGGTGCTGGAGAGAATACCAGAATCTAGATTGGAGGAAGGATTTCAGTGTCAGGTGTTGTTTGTGTTCCTGGGGCAGGAGGGGTGCCAGGATGGAGCTCTCCCTGCGGGCAGGTTCAATGGGACTCTTGTTGTGTGTTCTGGGGAGTCCCCTGTCCGTGCCTCCTTCCAGAGGCAGGGCTTTGCTGCTCCCGACCTTCCCCAGGCTGAGAAATCACTGGTCCCGCTACCAGAGCTGTGTCTGCCTTTCAGCTGCCTAAAGCAAACACCGGGGGAAACCTGTGGGAAAGTGTCATTGTTTTCCGAACGGGCTTCAAGGAACGGAGTCTCAAGTTACCGTAACTGGATCTGCTATCTTGCAGCTCTGGGAGCTTATCAGAGCAGAGCAGGTATCACTGATACGGGCACTGCCCAACCTGTTTCTGTAGGAGCCTTTCCAGGTGCCATTTTGGTGGCCTCTTTGTTGGTCAAACAGGGTGAGAAAAACCCCAAACCAAAACAAACATTTTTACAGACACTGCATGTAATGAAGTGATAAACTGATCATCGGGCTGATGCTCCAGTAATGTGGGTCTGCAGGACTTGCCAAGTGGTTTTGAGCTCCCTACAGGTTTAAAAAAAGCACTTTAAGAATTTATTTTTAACCTTGCATCCTTATTTTTTGCAGCACAGACATCTCTCAGAACGGTAATGTTATGACTCTTTTCCCTTGTCTTTGAGGAGCTTTAGCGGTGCAGAATGAATTTTGTGGGGTATGGACCATTTAGGATGGGGAATGGCCCTGTTCAGCAAATTCTCTTCTGGTTTTATTGCTATTATTGTTACGTTATTATTGCTCTGATGTTATTAGTGTTATCTACTCTTAACAGCTCTGACTGGAGTTGAATGCTCCTCATGGCTGGGTTCAGATAAACCTCCCAGAGGTTCTCCTTTTCCAATCCTCCCTGGGAGAGCCTCCTGCTCTCTCTTAACTCTTGCCAGCTGTTGATCTCCAGTTGGGACTGCAGTGAACATTAACCTGTGTCCTTTCTCCTTGCAGGAGGAGTCTCGCATCCTCAGGGTGAAGGTGGTGTCTGGCATCGATCTGGCAAAAAAAGACATCTTTGGAGCCAGGTGGGTGTTGTGCAGGGCCCCCCGAGGGCTGTTCATGAGCAGGCAGGAGGTCCCGCTCCGGGGTGCGTGTTGGCACAGCTGGTGGTGCCGAACACACGCCCAGCCCTCTCCCTTCCCTCAGCTCTGTGAGCCCAGAGAACCACCCGGGGAACAACTGGGGGAGAAGCTGCTGCTGAAGCCAGAATGAAGCCAAAGCCATTAATTTTCTTTTTCGGAGGTTAATTCAGGCTTGACGTTCCTGCCGTCTCAAGCCTAAGCGTGAGGAAATGCTTTGCTGCAAATGTTCCAATCTCCTTGGAAGGCTTTTATCAGTTTGAAATTAGTCGTGTCCAATTTTAGCTTTTGTTGAAATGACTAATTTCTTAATGTATAAATGAGCCTCCCTGTGGGTTTTCCTGTATTTCTTTAATGATGCTTACAAATTGTTCATTAGCTTACGTATCTCGCTTGAAACTACATGAAAGCAGCAATTAAAAGTTTAATCGACTTTAATTTTTTGGGTGAAATTTGCAACAAGTGTTCCTTTGGTAGCTGAGTGCAGAATATGGCAAACCAAAGCTTCTTTATTTTCTTTCCCCCAAAGAAGAGCTTTTGGTGCTGACCATAAGCGACATATCTTTTACTTTCAACATGCATGAAGTTTAATCCAGGTGAAATTTGGACCGAGTCCTTTTGATGCGGCCCTTAAATATTGTTGTCCCTTTTCAGAAATTACATCGAATATTGAGGACAAATTCACGATCTTTGCAATGTCTTTTTGGGAGAAAGAAGGTGAAGTGGCTGCTAAATATTTGAGGTGGTTCCACACTTTAAAGCGGGTTCATCTAAAGCCACTTGCAAACGTGTTGGAGTTGCAGAGTGGTGGCCCCAGCAGCTCCTGTGCCTCTGCGTGGTGGAGCTGTGCAGGGCTTCCAGCTGGGGCAGAACGGTTACCGTGTTCCCATGGAACTGTGAAAGACTAACTACAAGGCATACATTGTGTTTTGCATCTCAGTGGGTTGTCCTGACCGTTTTTAATCAACTTTACCATTATAAAACACTGCCTGTGGGCTCGCAGAGTCTGAAAGCCATTTCTTGCCTGATTAAATTCAAAGGCAGTGTAGAGCACTGCAGAAACTCCTGGCTTTCTTCTGAAGGCTGTAACAGTAAAGAAAGCTCAATGCTTTGGAGTTGGCTTTTTTTTTGGGGGGGGGGGGGTCTTTTTGACTTATGAAATGATTTTGATAGCAGCTAAGGATATCTAAGGAGACTCAGGGGAAACCACCTCGTTCTTTACAACTCACTGTCAGGAAGGTGCAGCCAGCGGGGGCTCGGGCTCTTTACCCAGGTAACAAGTGACAGGACAAGAGGAATGGTCTCAAGCTGTGCCAGAGGTTGAATGTTGGGAAAAGGTCTTTCCCAAAAAGGTTTCCAGCCCTGGCACAGCTGCCCAGGGCAGAGGTGGAGTCCTGGATAACAGCCTGTTCCCCTTCTTGTACCAGTGGCTGCTCTGTCGAGCACACACAAATCCTTTGAAGGGAGCTGCTTTCATAAATTAATCAAACCATTTAAAAAAATAATCTGGCTCCTAAAGAAGTGCCTGTTCAGCGCTTGCAGCACTGCAGAATGGCACATGTGCCAGGGGATGGTTCTGTTGCATCCCAGCCCGGGGAGCCCCGGATGTGGCGCAGAGCTGGAGAGTTGTGCACGGCAGAGCTCTGCAGTGACCGAGTTCCCAGAGCCACTTGACCAGATGGCAGCTGCTCAAGTAGGAGAGAGTTCATCCTCTGTTGTTGCTTTTCCTTTTTCCAGTTGATTTCAAATGGAAGTTTCTCTAGTGTAGTGGAAATGAACATGCTGGTTACAGAGTGTGGGGAACTACTGAGAGCTTCCTGAGATCCAAGCTGAGCTTGGCTTGGGGAAGGCGAAGGCAGCATCTGCACTGCTCGGTGAGCACTCCCAGCTCGTGCATTCCCTGTGGAATCAGCGTGCTTTAGGAGAGCTGCAGGGTGCCGGGAGCAGCCGTGGGCAGGTGTTGGGGTGAGCTCAGTCACTGCATCCAGAACAGGCGTGTGTGCCTGCCTGGCAAGGAGGGAATGGCCCCCTACACAGGCAGAGGTGGCAGTTTCCCAGGAGCGGCTGTGCCACCCCAGAGTATGGAACGTGCAGTCCCGGGAGTGGCACGAGCTTCCCACGTGGAAAACACTCAGGGCTCTACCTGAGGAAAACCCTCAAAGGGACAGCCAGAAAGGACTTGTGCCAAGTGTGTGGCCAGTGCAGGACAGGGAACCGGGGTGGGAAGGGATAAATAAAAGACTGCTCGGCAGAAATATGCTGGATAATTGACCTTTTTAATTACGAAACCTTAATGTCGATTTTTGTCTCATAGAGGTGTGTGAAAGGAGTGTTGGGCTGTCGAGTGTGGGCACAGGGCGGGTCTGTATCCACTAGGGGCTTTGATCATAGGAAGGGGCAGGGAGCAGGGGCTCAGCTGGCGGTCAGTGAGTCCCGTGGGGTCAGAGAGCCCAGAGGCAGCGAGCCAGGGGCCACCGAGTCACCAGTGAGCTGGGGGTCAGGCAGCCCGGGGGATCAGCCTGCCGGGGGCTTCTTGCTGCTGCTGCCTGGCAGCAGAGGGCACCAGAGAATTTCCACAGCTTTCACCACGAACCGGCGCTCTGATGGCTTCTTCACCAAAGTGCACAGGGCTTTACCCATCTCACGTGTTGTGTTCTTTAGGCTGCACTGGGGTATGTATTTCAGGAGCTGTAAATGGAGAAATGCTGCTTATTCAAGGCCCTCTACTGAGTAAGAGGGCTCAGTAATAATTCCTGAAGGTTGTCATGTCACAGTGAGTAATAAGTGTCATCAGATGATTGCTCAATAGAAATTGAGCAATCTGTCCTTTGTACAGATAGAAGAATGATAAATGCTGCTCAGTATTTGAAAAGGAGCACCTATATTCAGTCCCTCAGCTTTCCCTGCAGTGAGCTGTGAGTTCACCTGTGTCTTTAAAAGAAAAAGGGGGCATGTAGATAAAATCTTCTAAGAAAAACCTTTTGGTATAAATATTTCTTTTGTCTTCTTTTGCTGTCACATAAAATCATTGAGGAGAATGGATTAAAATCATCAGTAGCTTCTGCTTTTTATCTGTGTTAATTTTTCCTCCTAATGTCTGATACGTTGTAGCAGAAAGGTTGTCCATGTCTGACGGGTGTCTGCTCTCACCTCGTGTTCACCCTGGGTCTGTGGCACGCCTGGCTTGTCCCCTCTTAGGATCCCAGACCATCCTCCTGTTCAGTGCTTGTCCAGCACGTGGAATCGTGGCACGTTTAAAAGCACCCCAGCAATCTTTCTGTTCTTTTACAGGAATGACAGTTGAACCAATGATCTGTGTAAGTGAGAACAAAAGCAACGGTGAGGTTGGAGTGTCCCTTTGAGTGACAGTAAGGCGTGGCAACGTGTCACGAGACTAATCCCAGTGCTGGGAGCCACGGGCAGCTGTGGCAGGTGGGAAGAGCCCAGGGCAGGGGGCTGAGCCGTGCTGGTGCCCCAGCACCGGCAGCGCTGGCATGGATGTCCCAGGAGGGGACAGCTGGGGCAGCAGCAAACCCAAGGGATGGGGAAGGTGCTGTGAGGGGCCCTTGTGTGCCCCCAGACTGCTCTCTTCCTGCGGCTTTGCCTTTTGTCCCAGCTGCTCACTCACCCTCTCGCAGTCAAGAATGAGTTTATCCAGGAAGTTTTGTGTATCCCAGTCACTGTGGGCAGAAAAAGCGGGACATGAATGTACCCCAGCCTGTCCTGACTTGTGAGCTCTGTTTTTTAAATAATTAAAAAAAGAAAAATGTATCAAGGAGCCTGAATCTGGTGGCATGCAATTTATTGTTTTGTGTTTGAGGATGGTATCTGAGAGAAGGAGAAGCATCCACCTGGCTACCTGTGCCTGTGTTCTAGGGGGTCATAAATTCAGGTCCCTGCTGCCTTCTTTGGTGTGGTAAGATGGGAAGCGTGTGGTTCAGCTCATCAAACCCTCATTGCAGCAGTGAGTAATAGCACAGCAGAACAAAACTGAACTCCCCCTCGCACAGCCCTGTTTGATTCGAGTTCTCGGAGCTGTTCTCTGCTCTGAAAGCAGCTGCCTTCTGTTCCAGACAGAGCTCTGACAGGCAGCCACTGACCCCTGTGCTTCAATCCATCTCACCCAGCAGATTCTGATGACAAATCTCCGTCTTTGTAACCAAGAACTTAGTCTTGGGTGATGACTCATGGCAGATTTCCTATTATCTCTAAAAGAGGGAAGAATTTTCTTGGCTTGATTTGGTTTTGCCTTGGAAGCAGCCCCCACATGCTGCCCTGTGCCCATCCATCCCTGCACTGAGCTCTTGCCAGGCCAGTTCAGTTCTCCAACCCAGCAGAAAGCAGTTTGCCTCCTTTTTGGGTGGCAAATGCAGGGGAAGAACACTTTTTACTCAGTTTAGCTGATGGAGTCAGCTCGTGATGCTGTCTGACAGGTGTCAGAGCTGATGCAAAGTGTAATTTGTATTGTGTGGCTTGGAGCACAGAACATAGATTTGCTGCACAAGTGACTTCATTCAGGCCTGAAATACTATCTAATACTGAAGAATCTCCACGAGGTGTGTTTTCAGGCTGTGGGTATGTCGGTGTCCCAGCAGCGCTGTGGGGACTTGGAGGGGAGCAAGGGGTGCCTGGGGCCAGTTCCCCCCAGTTCAGACCCCTCAGCACTGGGCAGGGGGAGCTGGGCACCTCGGGCAGGGCTCCTGGAAGGGCTGCCCAGACAGGGAGTGTTGTAGGATGTAAAGAATTAAATCTTCCTTCTTTGCTGTGGTTTTCTACATGTGTAGAAAACAGAACTTTGCTTTACATTCTAGGAGATTGCCAAGAAGCAAGAATTCTAAAGGAATTGATCTTGTTACTCTTTATTAGAACACAGCGCGTTAAAGGAAGGAGGAGACACCGGAGGTGGAGTTGGAGATGTAATTTTTAACTCCCTTTTTCACCCACAGGCACTTCTTCTCAGCTGTCTGTGATGTGAGTCATTATCTCTAGCAGCTCTTTGGATAAAGCCGTGCTCAGTTTCTCGTAGAGTCAGATGAGGTGCGAGCCTTTCCTTGGGAAATAAAAAACTAGAAGGGAAATGAGGGGCCTGTAAAATGGTTCTGGGATTTGGTATGGAGAGGTGAGATTTGGGGATGCTTAGGCACAATGGACTGCAGTGGTTTTGCAGTGAAGGCTAAGGTAAGGTTTTGTTTTCTTTTTGGACTCTGATGCTCCTTTATTGTTGGGCTGTTGGTCACTCGGTGCTTTGCTTTAGTTACGGGGCACAAGACTTGTATGACAGCAGGGTCAAAATCATCTTCTCTTTGAGGAAAACTCCCAATGGATGTCACTTGGTGCAGGCAGGAAGATGAGCCTCAGAGGGCTCGTGCTGAAATTAAAGCCAGCATGCTCTGAGCATTCCCTGTAGTTGATTGCTGTGTGTTCTCATTGTCCTGCTCCTTTCCTCCAGTGCAGGAGTGGGGAAAGTCACCAGGGGAAATGGCTGGTGGGATACAAAGATAGTGGCTCTAAGAGATTCTACCTTGGGACATTGTTTTTACTACTCTCTGTAAAACTTTTAAGAAGTATCTCGTTATTCTCATCTTCTCTAATGATGCTTATTTTGGGCTTTGTTTCCCACATCTGTTTGAATATGAGAGTGACCAAGTAAAACATTGGATTTTTTTTTAAAATTCTTGGAACTTTCTAAGCCCTAGTAAGTGCATGCACGGAGTTGTCTCTAAGTGTGTTGAAATGATTCTGACATTTTCAAGTTCACAAAGTTTCCTCTTGTTGGGGAAGGGGTTTCTCCCAGGAGCAGAGTGCTCCTGAGCAAGGCTGGTTTCCTTTGGAGCAGTCAGGCTGCTCTGCCATGTGCAGCTTGCCCGTGTGTGTGACAAGCCTGGCACGCACACACTTGCATAACAGCGATACTAAATTTTGGGCTTGGGGAGGCGGTTTCAGCTTTTCCAGTAAAAATAGAGCCACGTAGGCCTTAGGAGTTTCATTGTTCTTTCACGTGTGCCTGTGCTCTCCTCCCCCTTCTTTGGGAGCTTAAAATAAGTAAATAATACAGCAGGTCACTGGCCAAAAGCTATTTGGAGACTTGCTTTCAAAGCTGTTTCCAGGGTATAAAGCAAATGCAATTCCAGACTCGAGTGAACAAACTTGAGCTGGTTCTGTGCATGGGCTCCAGTGTCACAGTGATGTGGAATAACATAGTTTTAAAAGGATGCTTTGAGGTTTTTTGGGGGTTTTGGTTGGGGTTTTTTAGGGTTTCTAAGTCATTAGTGGTTTTGTCCTCCAGAAGAAGAGCTGGAAGCTTGTCTTTTCATGCTGAGGTTCAAATGAAATATGATAATTATATATCTACAATTGCTTGAGCTTTAAGAAAATACCAAATATTGAGAGTTGGCAAAGTAGCTAATTCTGAATGTCTGAGAGATTCCAGAAGGTTGGGAAAAGGATTTCTTAAGACTTCAGATTGTTTTGATGGCTGTTGTTCTGCCAAACTCTCTTTGCACTAGCTTGTGATTAGGATTAACATAACTTTTCTTATTAACTTCATTTTCTTAGGATCCCAGTTTATTCTCCAGAGAACTGTTCCCTCATCTGAGCAGGCACTGACTTTCTCTTTAGGTTTTGACCGATCGTGTCAGGGTAGATCAGATGTATTGGTTTTAATCATTTTTGATTCTGTCATGAGGAGCATTATGATAGGTGTTCCACAAATCAATTCCCATTCATCTCCGTCACCGGGATGATGATGACTGGGCTCATTTCTCTTTGCAAAACCTGAATGCCTGATAATACGTATGAATAAACCCACTGGCTCCTGCTGAGCGATGGCATTGCCAGATGTGAGAAATGTAGAGCAGGAAAGCAATAATTCATTTTAATCACCTTCAGGGGAGAAGTATCTGGCAAGTACAACTCCAGCCTGATCTGTGTTTGCTTTCTCTGCTCAAAAGGTCCCCTCACCTGGTTGGTCTGTTGGTTTTTCTTCCTGCTCTCAGCACAGGTGTTTTATTTGTTATTGTATCTCCTGGATCATGGGGATTTGTTTCTTAGAACACATCTGCAGATACTGCTGCGAGTGCCAATCTGGTGTTGCCTCCCCTCTTCTTGTCTATGTCATTCCAATTTGGGCATGGGTTTTCCAGGGATTTTTAATGGACCACGGGGTGTATTTTGTTCTTCTGCAAATTTTCTTCAATTTTACTGATTTTCCTGTTGCTTTTTTCATGGTTTGGCTGTACAGTTATAGAACATTAAATCTGATGTTTTCTTTTGCAGTGATCCCTATGTGAAACTTTCCTTGTATGTAGCAGATGAGAACAGAGAACTTGCTCTTGTGCAGACAAAAACCATTAAAAAGGTATGTGTATACTCTGTTTCATTCCATTGTTTGGAAATACTAAGAACGCTGGAACACAATTGTATAACTTATTACAGCACTGATTGAAATAGTTGCATACATGTAAAGGAACCCAATAATGTAGTTTTTTTCAAAATATTTTCCTGATATGGTGAATTTCAAACAGCCAGATGACAGAAAAGCCTTGGACTGTTTACCTTTTTAATTAAAAACAAAATTGAATTTTGTTTACTTTTGTAATTTCAGTCCACACAAACGAAAATTCCACTGGGGGATATTTGTCATTATCAGTTTGTGAGGGATGCAGTGCAGTCACCCCCCGTGTCCTGCACTGCAGGAATCCACTGGATCTGTAACAGGGAGTGAGAAAAACAGCCAAGGTTCCCCCTCTCTGCTGGAGCAGAATGGTGGGGGATGCAGAGCCAGTTTGTCCTGTCAGCTCTGCTGGGGGAGAGCATGAGGGAATGAGTTGGCACGAACACAGAACCGTTGGACACGCTGTCCAATTGTTTTTATTCTTGCCCACATTACTGGTTGTAGTTCTCATCTCTTTTTTTATCAATTTATTATGTCATGCTTGAGCTCCCTTCAGATTGCAATCTGTGTGCACGTTGTATTCTGTGCATTTTAGGCAGCTTGTTAAAACAAAATTAAAGTCCTTGGGCTGGGGGGAGACTGGGAAGAGTATCATACCTATTCCAAAGAAATAATCTTTTCTTTTGTTCTTTTTTTATTTCTGCTTCGTTCACAGTATAAATCTATTCCTGTTTTTGCAGCCCTAATGTTACTCTTGTGTTTAAAAAATACTTTTTTTTTTCCATTTGTGTTTAAATGAATCTTGGGAATGAAATGTCCCCAGGTTATATTTCTATAGGTTCTCAGTGATTTGTCTTTTACTCATTAAATCCTATTTATACTTAACATCTATTTTAGGATCATCTGACTCAAATATCCTCCCACGGTTGGTTTACTCAGTAGAGAATTTCTGGATAATTTGATGACACTATTGTTTCAATTTTTTTTATTACATGTTTTTATCTTTTTTTATTCCCCTAGAAAAATGTCACTTGCATGCATGGTTTGATGATTGCAAACTGGCAAACCTAAAGAAACTTCAGCATGGAAATGTTATTTCTTTTACAGACACTGAACCCCAAGTGGAATGAAGAATTTTATTTTAGAGTAAGTCTCTCTTTACTTGCAGTCATTATTAGAGCATGCACAGTTAATCTTATTTTAAGTTTGTTGTTGGTATGTTTACTTAAAAGCCCGTGTACTTGCTGTTGTGTTCCTGTAGGGATGGAACGCTCAGCAGGAATTGGCTCGAGGTTATTTACAAACACACAACCTGAGATTATACGAACTCCAAGGGCAATAACTTTGCTACTCAGTTGCACAAAGCATTTTTCCAAGGAAGACTGATTGAGTTTTTGTGCAGCTGCAACTTCCACAAAAGAAAAAACCTGTTAGTCCTGTCCTGTTTGCCTTGGTTTAATCACTGCCTAATCTAATGCTCAGAGACTGTTGTTGTCCAGTGACATTTGGATTTTCTTGCAGGTGAACCCAACCAACCACCGGCTCCTGTTCGAGGTGTTTGATGAGAACAGACTGGTGAGTGCTTGTCTGGGTTGTTGCACTGATCACAGGGCTCCGTGGGACACAGCTGATGGAAGTGCAGCAAAGCTTAAAGGTGTTATTTTATCTGCTGTGGGAGTGAGTGTGCTAAGAACTAATTTGGTCAAAATTAGAATCAGAGTTGTGAAGATCCTTTTATTAAAACCAAAGCACCATAGAAACATCTGTCTGTCTTCCACAACCCTCCTTTTCCAACAGGTTGTGTTTGCAGAGTGAGAAGACACTGATTATTTTAGCTCTACCTGGAAATATTTATTGTCAATACTTGAATGGTTTTTATTGCAAGGACTCTGTTCCTTCTTGTTGTTCCCAAATCACCGAAGCACACCCTGGCTCTGCAGCACATCCTTGCCTTTCTGCTCCCAGTCTAAACAGAGAAAACGCGGTGCAGCTTCACCGTGGGCGCAGAGAGAAACTGTCTGTGGGTAATGTGCTTTAGCTGACAAATAAGATAAAACAGTACCAGCACTTGCACCTCCACAAGGCCATCTCCAGGGCTGTCACTGTGTGGAAGCTGTGCATGTTCTTCTTGTTGGCTCATGATCTGTGGGAAACAATGGGGGATTGGGCCAGCGGATGGGTCTGAGCTTCCATCTCTCCTGAGATTGCTCATTTTCTGGCTTTGGAGAGCAAACTGCTTGCGAGCAGAGGTTTAAATGCCTAGATGGAGGATTGATCCCCCACATGCAGATTTTCAGGGCTGTTGACAAACTGAGGCTTTCCAGTTCTCCCAGAAAACAGTTGTCCAGGCGCCGGGATGGAGCTGCACTTGTGGCTAACAAGTGTGGGCACCCACCACGTGTGAGCGTCCTCAGAGCACTGAGGATCTGCGTTGTAACAGCTCCTTTAGGGTGCTTGGTGTATCCTGCCCCGCTCCCGAGGCCGTTTGGCAGCGGGAGGGTGTCACCGTGTCCCGTGCTGGCTGTGCCACGTGTGGTGGCACTGCTGACACCCTCGCTGGCGCCCGGCCAGCAACGGGCACTTTGTGTGCAGGCTGTGGGACAGATCGGAGCGGGGGGACGTGCAGTGCCTGGCTCCGCTTCTCCCTCGTCTGTACTGCCTGGCAAAGCTGGAGAAGGAGCTTTGTGTCCTGCCATCGGGCACATTCCCGCTGGTTTCCCTGCGAGAGGTCTTTGCCGTACGTGCGATTGCTTTTGGAATTCCTGTAGCTACTCCGAGGGGCTGTGCAGGGGAGTTCAGGTTGTACTGAGCTCGTAGGGACAGTGTGCAAGTTGGAGCTTTTTCAAGGCAAGAAGTTGATTGCTTAGTCGTGTTAGGAGCACAGTTCAAGCTGAAAGCATAACTCTGCTATATTTATTCCAGTTCTGCCATGGCAGCCCAGTGCTGAAACGCACCAAAAGGGGACTCTTGAAAGAAGTTCCCTCATTTGCATGTGGCGTTGACTTCAGCTTTGAACACCAAGTGGGAGTGTTTTTGTTGCAGTGAAATTTTTGTGCCCTGTGAATGTGGTTTAGATTTACAGCAGTGCCGAGCACGCTCGCAGCCTCGGTCAGCTGCGAGAGCTCTCCCGCTGGGGCTGCTCCTCCCTGATGGAAAAGGAGCAGCTGGGAAGGTGCTGTTTCAGGCTCTTGCTGGCATTAAAAAAAAAAAAAAAAGGAAAAAACAAACCCCCCACCCGCTTACATTGGAGAGGGGGAACCAGGCCACGTGACTGCCGCCATCCTACCCTATGTCACCGTGTGTAGGAGCGCCGACTGCTCCTGCCCAATCATGCCTGGAATGCTGCTTGCCACTTGGGCTATTTCTGCTATCTGTCGCTCCCAGGGCTGCAGTGCTAACCGTTTGGCAGATGGGACACTTTTCCTTGGAGTTTATGTCTCTGGATTTTAACTTCTGGCGGTGCCTGAATCGTCGCTGTTCTCCCTCTCCCCTTCTCCTCTCTGTGAAATCATGGCCCATCGGCTGCGGTTTCATTTTGGCTCCGGGAGAAGCAACACGGCCCCCGAATCGGAGATCCTCGAGCGGGAGAGGGAAGATGACTTTTTCCTGGCGTTCCACACGCTGCCGAGAAGGAGCAGCCCTCACGCGTTCTCCCGGCTCGGCGCGGAGCGCGGCGACGACGACGGCGACGACTTGCAGGAGGTGGGCTCGCTGAAGAGGAGCACGTCCATGTTCATCCCGCAGCTGCTGGGCAGCGGCGAGGCGCGGCCCACGCGCAGCTCCTCCGTGCAGATCTCGCTGCAGCGCAAAGCCGCCGACGGCGACGGCGGGCCCCCCGAGGACGCCCCGCCCGCAAAACCCTCGGACTTCGGGGAGCACCGCGCGGCCCCTCCGGAGAAACACCACGGCTCTGCTCGGAGCAGTCCGCAGGGCGCTCCCGACAGCTCCGCGCCTGGGCCGACGGAAGGGTCGGGACAGCAGACGGATGGGACCGTTTGCTGTAATCACCGAGTGTTTTGTACCATCCCCTCCAATAACCAGGGCAAGGAGGCTCCGTCCGCCGCCCAGCGAGACGAGGCGAGCGAAGCGGCGTCGGGTTTGAACGTCGGCGGAGTGAGGATTCAGCATCGGGCTTCGAGTGCGGACGTGCCTCAAGTTACTCTGCTCCCCTTGGGGCCGGAGGCTCCGAACAACGCTCCCAGCCCCGAACCCCGGCGTTGGTCCTTGCAGCACGTGCCGGATCTGTCAGCAAATTCAGGGAAAAAGTTCTTTGTTCTCCAGTTACAGCAGCCGCAGAGCAGCGGAGCGGGCGCGGGGGGCGGATGTAACTTTGGGTTTACTGGAACAAAGGGGGACAGATTGGTCAGGTATCCTCGGATACGGCTGGAAAGGAGCACTTCCTACCCTGTCCAGCCCCCAGCAGAAGGAATGAGCCCCCCAGCTGATGGGCTGGGTTCAGAACCGCCTGGGAACGGCAGGACCGGGTCAGAAATATCCAGAAGCAATTCGGTCGAGCGGATTCCTCAAGGGCAGGGATGCTTGTTTAAAATCAGGCCAGATCAAAACACCAGGCAGCAGCACTTCAGGATTCTTGTCACCCGTGGGCCCGAAGAAGGTCAGGGTGTTGGGAAAGACGGTCCCACGGCAGCCGGCGCCGCAGTAAGTACAGTGTGTGCTGTGCCAGTGACACGCGTGTGCCAATGACACGCGTGTGCCTTACAGACCTGCCGGACTGCAGGCAACTGCAGCACTTCCAGGGTTAGTGCTGGAATGTTCTGCGCTTCTCAGGACCCAGCCACGAATCGTCTCTGTTTCTAATGGAACGTAGCTTTGCTCTCACTTGTGATTACATGCAGTGTAGTATTTTCAGAGCCCACTGTCACAGGTTTCTTAATTCACTGGTACGTCAGCTGGAAAGATTCTTGAAAATTGGAGCATTCAGATGGCAAATTACATGTTCACGTTTAGTTGGCTGAGACCTTCAGGCACTCTGGGTTTAAAAACAAGTATTTTGGCACCCTGTAAGTGTGATGTATCCACGTGTGTACCTCTACATGCTTTAAAATACGTATTGTAGTGCAATAGCAGGTAAGACCACGGGAATCGTAGGATAATTCCAATCAAAATACTGACTTAGCTAAGGTTAGATAGTTTTGTCTTTCTCCTTCTGGAAATGCAAAGCTCACCATGTTTTTGTGTGCCACAAGTCCTGATCCAAGTCCAAGTGGCTGGGCACAGCTCGGTAAACAGTCTTGTTGTTTGGATTTGGCTCGATTCGGCGTTAAGATGGCAAAATTAATTTTCTGGGTTTGCTTTGTTGCAGCGAGTGAGGATTCATGGTTGGTGTTTTTGCAAAGCCCGAAGGAGGAATGAAACCGAGGGGTTTAGATTAGTCATTTGCTTAAATTGCTGCTCCGTGCAATCCAAGCCGGCCCACTCGAGTTGCCGAGCTCGCTGGGGGATGCTGTATATAGCTCTGCAGGCTCCAGCTGTGGCAACAGGCACTGAAACACAGCACAGGGGCAGCTGCTCCTGCAGCAAGGCCAGGCATGACTCTGCAGCTTTCCCGTGGAACAGCTCGTGGGCTCCGAGTTATTCCAGAGTGACTTTCTTTGGAGCTCTTCGGTGGGCAGTGTGAGTAGAAAACCACAGGGTATCCCAAAGCTTTCATTTCAAAAGAGTGGAATAAAAAGAAATCTCTCACCAGTCCAGGTTTGGTTCCAGGCTGTGTAAGGGAGCAGTTTTGGTCAGGAGTGTGTCGTGTCTTTCCTGTCAGCCTGAGAACATCTCAGCAAGAATATTTGGAAGGCAGAAGCTTCACTGTGTTTTTTCGTGATTTCACTTGCTGTATGCGGTGCAGCGTTAAGTGTTCTCATACCGAAATTAATCTAAATCTCATTCTGAAAACGAAACGGGGAAAAAAAGGTATATCTGATTTTCCCTTTCCTATTTATTATGCCTTGTTCCTTTCCAAAATCAGCTGTTCAGGGAGAACCTCCATAGCCAATTGTAGAAGCAGCTCCAGGATGTCAAACCGAGCACAAACAGCGGCAGAGGTTTGTGCAGATGTGCCCCAGGATCTGTGCAGCAGATCCTCTACAGCCTCTGCTCCCCTCCTCCCTGCAGTGAGGATTTCCATACCAAAGATGTGCTGTGATGTTTCCAGAGGAGAAGGAGAAGGTTGTTCCTCCCTGCTCTCAGTTTTAGTGGCAGCCACATCCCACTGAGGGACTCAGCCCACACGGCACCGCCTTCTGTGGGGCAAAAAGCCTCAGAGGAACAGAATTAGTTGAAACCTGAACCTTTCTCGTGGTGTTTGTCATCTTTGTGATGACACTGTGGTGTGACACCACTCAGGCTGCACCTGAAATACCTGATCTCTCAAGCTGAGGGGAGAAGTTGCCATGGTTTATGGTTTGCAGCGTGAAAAACACAAAGTGTGGAGCGTGGCAGTGCGAGGGGTTGGTGTGTGTGTGTGTGTGTGTGACTGATGAGGGCTGGGAGCAGCAGCTGCTGCAGCCGGATTTATCTCGGAGCAAACATCCGAGCGGGCGTCTGCAGTCCTGCTGCTCCCA